TTAATCGAAAAAGAGATGGAAACATGTAGATATACGTATTACATATTTTAATCTTGTAAGCTCTTTCTTGATCCGTATCTCTTGATAGAGAAATAATTTTATAGTATATACATGTACAACATGTAATCGAATCAATCTAGGATTTAGCGAGATAAGAATCTTTGATGATAAAATTTATAGCACTTTTAAAAAAGAACACACACAAAATGTAAGATTCAATTAGTTTTTCAATCTCTTTTTTAAAATATGATAGTAATAAAAAATATAAAATATTACAAATACATAATATATAATATGGATTTTGAAAGAATTCGATTACAAGTTATAAATTATCAAGAAATAATGCACTTTTATTTTAATCGTTGTCAATTTCTTTGTTTTTAATTTTTTTTATTATCATTTATTTATACTTCAAAAAAATTTGCTCGATCCTTTGATTAAAGTAATCGGATTAAGAGATTTTTACTTCAAGAAAAGATAAAGATATCAATAGCTATTTACGAATTTGATTAAAATGGATGATAAAAATCAATGATTTCATTCGCATAAATAGAATGAATATAAACTTATATCAATAGAGGTTATATACATAAAATCAAATGATGCAATACTACGCTAAGTACTTCAACAGAGAAAAATTTCACACGAACCTGTAGAGGTCATTTTCGGTGACAATATCTCGGATAGAATCCTCAGGATCAATGCGATCCGCTGGAAAACCGGCCGGTCTCGAGGACAACAAGGGACACGTTGGTTTTATGGTGGTGTCAGTGGCCTCATGGAGGGCGCTGGCCGCGATAAGGTCATCCTCGGAAGCGGTACTAGGCAGAGGCACGTTAGGACTCGGAGATCGCGAGCCAGAAATCACACCGAGCAGATCCTCGCTTCTTGAATGTCTCATTTCCATAGCACCGTATCTTCCAGTTGTCGTTGTCATCGTTCCACCGAATCACTGTACACTCGATTTTTCCACGACCCGGTTAGACGGCCGTCCTCTTTTCCTTCGTCCTCGTTGCCACGACCTCGACAACCCAAAGGAACCGACCACGATCTAGTCTTTGCTACTCCCATTCGGGCTGGCCTCCTCTTACTACCTCTTATTCGACTCCCTAGAGAATCACGATCCACTGATTTTCATCTCCGAGATATCTTCTCTCTTTCGTTCTTCTTTCTCTACCTCGTCGCACCTTCGCGCTCCTTTTCCACTTCCACGAACACGTCTTCCGATTCCTTCTTCTTTTGCAACGAACCAGAATTCCTATCTATCGTCTTCTTCGTTCTAGTTCATCACTTGATATTTCTTGGCGCACGATTTCTCTTTAATACTTTTTTTTTATAATCTTTCAAACAGGATGGCATAATTGTCGCGGCAAATAATAACATTCAATTAAAATCTCCGTTAAATTATTGGTGTACGCTTTCTTAATTTTTGATGAGAATAAGAACGCATTAACGTCGCACGAAATAGCAAAGGTAACGGACCTCCGCACGAACTATTCGTTATTCGCACGATAATACACATTACTGAATTCATTACTTTTTTTACCTCTTTTTGTTTCGATCGTCTTCGATTTAAATATATTTTTATGAATTAGGAATATTAAAGTTCCATTAAAAAAGTACCGTGTTCGTTGTATCATTAACAGAATCAACAGGACGTATCTTTATTGTGGATGAATTTATGTTTCAATGATTGTAAAAAGAATTTATTCAATCGGTCATACACAAAGCAATTTACGAGTGTAATTGTTGATAAAATTCAAGTCGCCATTTTCGTTGAATTCTATGATGATTTCTATTGCACTTGTATCTCTCAAGGAACACCGGACACGAAATACACACGTCGAATAGGCTCGTCTTTGTAATTAAAGTAATTAGAAAAAGGAGGGTGGTTCTTCTCAACAGACCATGCGCGGTGAACGCGAGTTCACACCAGTATCTAGGAGTGTCCACTTTGAACGATACGAATACACAAGCCACTCATCACACGATTTTATTTCATATACTCCTTTAGCGTACTCTTCGAACACATTTTTCTGATGTTCCGCCTTTCTTTCACGAGCCACAACCGAAGTCTGCCGTAACGGGAACCGAAACCGCTTTGTCCTTTCGCAAGGAAGGGGCATGCGAGAAAGGATATACGTGTACCTGCGCTCTTGCGCGTTCGCAGTAGATATATATTGACATTGAATAATAAAACGTTCCTTTAATACAAATGGGTCACAGGTAAAATTCTTCAACCTTCCCCCTTTGATTTTCTTCCGGTAATAATTTTCATTTTTGGTATCACTACTTTCTTCTTGTTGTTCCTCTAACGCCATTGAAATAAACACAGCATAACGTGTAGTAAATAGATATAATATTTTAAATTGTAATATGGATCGAATTTCTTTATTTTTTTCACAACTTTGTGTATAACATAACTTCAACGATTAGGTAGGTTAGCTTTTGTGAAATAAATATACGTATTGTTTAATAGAATATAGCATATTACACCATAATGAAAACAAAACATAAGATTATATCACTTAGTAAAAATATGAAGATATAACGATTATGATTATTGAATTCAATATTTTTGAACTAATTAATAGTACACAATTATAATATTACTTTAACCACTGTCCAAAATTTTAATCTTGGTTTACCTTTCATGTTTGGCAAAATTATGTATGTAACTTCCCTATATTTTTTCCTAGAACAACATGGCAACTATTACATGAGAAATAAATATATCTTTATATGATCATAGTGAATAGTGGCATAGAGTAGATAGATAATAGATTTATTATTATCTTTGGTTTAAATTCAAACTTATATAGTCATTATATAGACAAGAAATAGTATAGACTTTTCATATTAGGGAATTTTGTGTTTTACGTTTTAAAATACCGATTGCACAAATATCAGATTTAATACGCCTTGATTAAAAATGATACAATTCAATGATTCAATTTAATGATTATTGGAATATTTAAAATTCAAATTTAATTTAATATCAATAAAATCAAACAGCAATAAAAATATTAATATTTCATAAATATCTTTACATATCTAATACCTACATTACAGACAGAAATATTATATATTATATAAATATAAATTATATTTTATATATATTTTTATATTTATATATAAAATTAATATATAATATTTTTGTCTGTAATATAGATATTAGATATATAATATATATATATATGTGATATAAAATATATGATTTATAAAAATATATTTAGTAGCGCCATCTCTTGGAAAGTTGCTCAAATTTGTCACATTTTATTATTGATAAATGATTTAATTATTCTTGAATGATACTATCTATTTCAAGAAAATTGAATTTTTACATGTAATTATTGACAATAAAATTATTTATTCAATTAAAATATAGAATAGACATATAGATATGTGTTTTGTATGAAAATTTCATTTAACATCTTTTTCCTATTATTTCATATTACATTTTTACATTACATATGCTTTTGCATCGAAAACGATTGTAATTTTAATAGTTGAAATTAAAATTTGATTTTACATTAACATTAATGTAATTGCTATTCATTATTAATTAACTAATATTAATTATTAATTATTAATTAACTCATATTAATTATGAGATAAATAGTATCGTAGTAGATTAATCATATTATTAGACAGAAAATATCATTAATATTTTTGAAATGAAAAAATTGTCGAAAAAGAATTATATATTTTTATATTTTCAACTATTTCTAAAATACTATAAATGAAATTAATATAAACAAAAAAATAGATAGGAAAGAATAAAGATGGATTAAAAATTGATTTTCAGTATTATCTTTTGAATTTTGAAAATATTTCTTCAAAGACAAGATAAGATATAGTAAGAATTGAGATTTAACGAATTAATTTCCTTTCCTTAAATGTATTTAAAAAAATAAAACTAAAATCAATTATTTACTTTATCTTTAAAGAAATGTCTTCGTTTTATCAATTCAAAAAATGGCATTAATTATTTCTATTTTTTTTCTATTATTTATCTATGTCTATATTTATTTATTTGTTTTGATTGGTTACTCCATCTCTTTGAAAAACGCTGAACTTTCTTATATAAGTACTGTTAAGAATAAAATGAATTGATTAAATAAATTTTGTTTTTACTTCATGCTATCTGACATAGATTTTTTTCAATATTGTCAATAATCCAAATGTTAAAAAATTAATTTTAAAAATTAAATAAATAACATCAAATAAAAATAAAAAAATTAAAAGTAAAAAAACAGAAATTTCTTTAATATGTATTCTTAAAATTGTATTATCATTGTATGTTATAATCTATTATATATTATTTGTGATGGTGATGTGGATTGGATAATAAATCTATTTTATATTTAATCTGTAGTATAAGACAATGAATACTTGAACATTGATTGTTTTATCTGTTTCACGTAGATGGCGTGCCGGTGGTGTTTCCATGCACCGTATTATAGAGCGAGTATTTGTCGATGAAATAAAGAATAATTTGTGCTGTGTTATTTTTATTTTTAATTAATATATCTTGCTATCTTTTTCATTATGACCAGTTCTGTCAGTACAAATCCATCAACTCTATTACCTTTAGGTAAGACAAATGTTTTGTTTACATTATATTTTTAACCTTACTTTTTTTGATAATCATATCACTTTATTGTATCAAATTTTAGAATTGGTCGACAAATGTATTGGTTCTCGGATACATATTATTATGAAAAATGATAAAGAAATTGTCGGCACTTTGTTAGGCTTTGACGATTTCGTAAATATGTTACTCGAAGATGTGACAGAAAGCGAAGCAACACCGGAAGGAAGAAGAGTCACCAAACTTGATCAAATATTACTTAATGGAAGCAATATCACAATGGTTAATAATTTCTTAATAGTTTCTTAATAGTTTAAATTAATTTCTTTAATATAAGTGTTATTCAAATTATTTATTAATTTGTTAAGTGTATACAGTAAACTTTTATGTGATATTTTTATTAGTATCATTTATAATAAATTTTTGTTACAGCTTGTACCTGGTGGAGAAATGCCTGATACGTAAAAGATGATTTCTTTTGTTATGTATTATATAATCAAAATTTGATCATTAATTCATACGTATCTACTATAGAACAATAAAAATTTCTATTAAATAAGGATAATAATTGAAATAAACATTAAGAAGAAATTAATGTATCAATTTTAGTTATTACTTCATTGGTTGTGGGCCTTTCGGTAGTATTTTGTGACCACATTTGTTTATATAATGTTTTATAAGTACCTTTAAATTCATCATCAATATTATCATCTGTAGGGCGATGCCCTTTTGCAGAAAGGTAAATAATTGTGTGACTATGCAGTCCAGCAAATGGCAATTTTCTAAATAACATTTGCCAAGCTACAATTCCTAAAGAATAAATATCTGCTGCAGGAGTTGGTCTATTTTGTTTTATAACTTCTGGAGCAGTATATCCTGGTGTGCCCTAAGAAAGAAAAATCTTTCTAATAAGCAATAAAGACCATATTATATAATAGAAACATACATAAAATTTATCAATTTCATTTGGTGCATCTATTAGCACTGAATTACCAAAATCAGTAAGCTTTGGTTGACCATTTTTGGACATTAGAATATTTTTAGGTTTGACATCCGCATGAACAATACCAGCATTATGACAAAATTGTAGAGCACAAGTTATACTTCTTAATATACAAATTCTTTCATTTTTAATTAATATTGCTTCATCTAGACGATTTTGCAAGGTAGTGCCACATAATTCCATTGTTATTAAAGACAAAGAAGCACCTTGTTCTATCATTAGCACTTTTACTATATTGGAATGTCTTAGGAAAGAAGCATGTTTTTCACCGTTTAACATATTAGAATATTTTTCTGTTTGTATCATTTTAGCTGCCACTTGTTCACCTATTCAATATGTAATATTCAAATATGCCATTTTTAAAATTAAAAAAACATTAAAAAAATTGTTTTACCTTTATACAAAGCTTTATATACAATACCGAATCCGCCGCTTCCTAGAAATGTACCGCATTTGATAGGAAGACCATCTTTTAATATTTTTTGTCGGTTGGGAGTATCAATATTAAAAGGAGATAATTGGTTTTTAGTTTCAATGTTATTTTCATAAACATTTTTCATAGGAGTTCTTGGACTTAAATATGTTCTATGATAATATTAATGTATAAATATTAACTTTAAATGAATTAATTTATGCGTTAAATTATTTTACTGTTGCATTACCTTTTATCATTTTTTAATATCTGCGGTGAAATTTTATAAAATTTGGTTGCTAATTTTTGAGGTGAAGCCATTTTTATACTGTATATATTATACAAGAACAATCTTTTTATCTGTCTTAATATTTAAGGACAACATAATGAAAACACATATTTTTTACATGTGTTTTTGTACATGTTAGAATTTTAAGAAGTAAACGTTAAAAAGGTAAACACCAATCGTATGACAATGAATAAACACAAAAGTATAAGAATGTTAATATTATAATGATTACAAATGTTTGTCTTGTAAGGATATAATTTTAAAAAGTTACAAAATAGAGAGGAAATAATATATTTATTTGTTTGTCTAATATAAGGCATAAATCATCTACTAGAATCTATTACTAATTATTACTTTTTAATACTGTATGATAACTAGATTATGTACAATTTTTTTATGAACTCATAACAATTCATACTTATCTTGATAATCTTTCAATATAGGTAATATCAGTAGTATGTATATAATAACATGTTAATGTATTAGATATATCTAATGAAATTCAGTGTTAAAAACTTCATGCTTTAGTATATGCTCATAAGTACTGCTAACGTTTGTTCTTATAATAATTCTGGACCTCTATCACAATTATGCAGCACAATATTCTCGATTCGTAGCTTTCGGTATTTTTGTATAAATAAGTAATAATAAGTAATGCGATTATATTTTTGTCTTTATGTAAATATTAGGATTAGAGTTGAGTTTTTAATAAAGTACTCTTGCGGATTAGCAAAATATTTTAACCAATTAAAATAGAATGTCTTTTCTCTTTCATAGTAGCATCTAAAATATTCATTTTAGTGATTTTCTTTTTTATTGCACGTATTTAACATACGATGAGATTATTATTATTATCATTATTATATATCTTGGTCTTGTTTAATGTGAAGTTTTACATTTGGAACAATAATTATTATTGTAAAATTAATAGTTATCGTAAAATCAATACTGATTTGTTCTTCTATAACAGAAATAAAACATTAAATAAACATTTAAAAAAAATTATTTCATAATTTTTCAATTTTGCTTATTATATTTTTAAATATAATATATTATATTATATATTATTTTTAAATAATTATACGATGATAAATTTAAATAAACGCCGTTTGAAGTAATTATGGTTTAAATTTTTTTTAAATTATTCGAATCAAAACTATTTTTTCTTTGTTCTATTGTTATCAGGTACTTCTCTAAATGTATGTATGGAGTACCTTTTTTATTATCATTTAAATATATTTTTTTTTTCTTAAAATTAAATATATATTCTTTAAAACAGAATAAAAAGAGAATATTACAAATCGAGGCGTTTTCATAACATCATAACATTACAATTTTTAGAAAAAAAGAAAAAGAAAAGAATACATATTTATATAATATAAATAACATGTAAGTATTTTTTATTGCATGAAAACGTACTGCTGAATTTTAAATCTTATTTTATAATCATTAGATTGATTTAAAGAGTTGTCTTATATGATGGCTTATATTTACGAATATGATGTTTTTTTATGTAATAAAGCGTTTATGGAAAGTTTTTATTAAAAAAAAATAGAGTAATTTAAAAAAAAAAAAAAAGAGATGAGTTTACAATCGACGATATATAATAAATTTTACTTTTAAGTACATATGTCGAAAATATAATGAAATCTGTTATTATTTAGTTTTGTAAAATTTAAGTTCAATTTTGAGATATTTATAAAATATTATTTTCATTTAAGAAAATAATGTTAAAGCACAGATTTATTGAATATTGCTAAATGATTGTAATTCTTCGCACGAAATGAGTTATACGGTCCCAAAGAAACTAGATTTTATAATATTAATTAATGAGAACAGCTAATGATAACTATTCGGACAATTTTCTTATAAAAGATTTAGTTTTCAATTCGCCTACATTATTTCTCTATAGACGGACCAGCACCATTTTGTAATTTACGACCTTTTGATTTGGCACTCTCGTATCTCGTGCCTTTACGCCTAAATTTTTCCTGAGCAATGTGTCGTCGTTCATCACCGTTCTGTAGAGGCACCTTTTTTTATCCCATCGAAATCGAAAATAGATGAAACGAATTTTCAAGTATTGATTATGAATATATCAGATAAAATGTAGGTATTGAATATCATATGTTTTACTTTGTTATATATAATAAATTATTTTCTATGAAAAAATTACCAATAATTTCAATCAGTCTGTAACCCTTGTTAAATTCAAACAATTAACATTTAACGTATACGTTTAATTTAATAAAATGTAATAAAATTCAAGTACCTACATGTATTCAATATATGCACAATAAAATACATTTTCTCATTTCATCTTCTTGTTCTAATGTCATTATTGATTATTTACAAATTTTGTAGTACAAAATAATTTTTACGAATTCAACGAGTTAACACCACCGTTGGGAATCAAAATCCTTTTATTAACCCTTATCTACGTCCTTAATTCATTATCCTCTCTTAATTCATTGGTATACATATTTTGCTCTTTCACGAAAATAGAGATCTTTTCTCAAGAATTTGCGCTAGTATTATAGAATCGCTTCGATATAATAATAATAATAAGTAACGGAGAAAGCGTGATTCTTTGAAGAAAAAAAAAAAAAATGAAAAATGAAATCTGGGAAGAAAACAATGTAGGAAGAGAAGAGAAGAGAAGAGAGGAAAGGAGAGGAGAGGAGAGGTATTTTTTTTTTCGGACAAGTCGAATAAGGCACTATCTAACCAGGTAACGGAGCTTCCTCGTAAAAATCTGGTTCATCCTCGGTACTCTCGTGTTCCGATCCTTTGCTATCGAGTGCCCGTAGCTCTGCCGCAGTAAAAAAGTGGTTCATCTGACCCCGTAAAGGTATCATAAGAATCAGGAAGAACGGAAGTGCCAAGGCTGCCCTGGTACTTTTCACAATCCACAGTATAGCCAGGCACAAAATTTGTATGAGGGTGAAGATGTGCATCTTGTACGTTTGCACACGCCGTACGTAATTAGCCGTGCCATGGTGTTTCACTGGCATGAAAAACAGCTTCACACGATCGAACAGTTGAACGCCGTTCGTCGAAGAGATACCCATGTAGAGAAACACCCCCAAAAGGACGGACATTGGTACGCGTCGTAATAGTGGCGCCATTAACACACTTACGCCGATCAACACGGCAACTAATAGAGCGCTCACTCTCTGCTCCTTCACTTCGACAATGTGCGGTTTATCTCCGGGTGCATGAGTACGGGACATAACTGTCACCGCCGAGACGTGTGTTAACGATCGAACGGAGGCGGCGCAACACCAAGGAGCGCCCATTAAACCACAACCGACATTCATTAAACACACTACTACTATATCCATGTGATAGCCGTTACCTTTTCGCAATTTTCGTTCTTTTTTATCGATGATTAGCCTACAAACAAATTATTATCCGTTATTTTATACACAAAATAAGAAATAAGAATTGTATAACAAAAATTGAAAAATCACTTAGAATAGGAATCATCTCAATCTCAATCCCTTTTGAACAACTTTTTGCTATATATATATATATATATATTTGTTTGTTTGTTTTTTTTTGTTAATCTTAAAATATTACAATTTCAACATTTCTAAGATTTGAAATAAGTTTGAGATAGATTTAGCTTAGACATGAATTGTATGTAACGAGTTGTGTTAAATGCAATGTAATATCTATCCACTAATTTGAAACTATTATATGAAAGTTTTGAAAGATTGATTGATAAAATAGGAAAAATCATGAAATTAGATCCTATTCTAAATAATTAATTAAACGTTTTTGCGAGCAAAGAAAAGATGATATTTACTCGGAGATTTGAGTTTCCATGAAAACAAGTATATAAACCAGCAACGCTGGCACGATGCAAGCCATGGCCATCCATAGTGGAATAGGTTTATGCACTCCGGCGGGTGATACGATCCAGTTTCTACCAGGTAGGGTTGGGGTTAGACCTTCCGGGACCAATAATTTCTCCGTTTTTACTTTAGCCAGATAATCGATCAACGCAAATACGACAATACTGATGGGCACGCCAAAATCACCAAACGCTCTTCTGGCACTTCGCCCGAGGTAATGACTGTTGCGGAAAATACGCAAGTAATAAGCACCGAGAAAAGTACCGAGACACAAAATGGTACACATGAGGGCGGTGTTCGGTTGATTTATCAATATTCCAGCCGCGTTGTGCGCTGGTATCAAAGTTCGAGGCTCGGTCAATGGAATACCAATTGTCTCGCCGGTCTTTGGGGAAACAATGTTGATCTCTGTAACATTTAATGGCCCTTCGTAAAACGTTTTGTTCGTCTCAGGAACAAAACTGTATTCGTCAAGCAATGGATTTTTCACAAAATAATTGTACAGCTTGATAAACGTTTCAACGATATATAGAATGGAGATTAAGCCTGTGAAAATTTCTTCGGTGAAACGTGTGAACAGTCTGACCAGCACGGATCCCTCGACACAGGCGATCGCTAGAGCTATGATTCCCATCCATGCTCCGACGTAAACTCTCACGGTTAAGAATTCCAATTCATTGGCCAGGCAAAAGTTGTACAAACTTTCGTCGAAGAGCAGTAAAGGGCCGGTCGTGCCAATGATGACTAAAGGTTGGGTGGAGAATAAAGCCATCACTACGCCAGTCCAGGAACCAGAAACCAGGGTCTCGGATATGCCGATAACGTTATGCGTTTTGTCGCTCATCAAACCGCCGAAAGTAATGGCTGTGCAGAGGGCAGCAAAGTACATGAAAATGGCTGCCGCTAGACAAGACGAGCTCAAACCGTCGGTAAAATCGGAGAGATAGAAAGGATAGCGTCTCTTGATATCGTTAATAAGACCGCCAAATGGACGTTTAGTTCTTCGAAGTGGATCATCGTCGTCGGGAGGTTTCTTTTCTTCTTCGCCGGCAAGAAGAGCTACGAAAATGAAACGTAATTACGTTTAATCGTGATCTTTTCCCTCCTCCTCCTCCCCCC